ACCCTCACCGATTTTTGGGTGTGTGGTCGCTTGAGCAACTTCGATTACATCATGGCCCTCAACGAGGCGGTCGGCCGGCGTATTGGGGACCCCTCCTACCATGCGATCATGCCGTGGGTGGTGAACTTCCTGCCGGGGGCCGAAACCATCCAGCAGGAACAACTCCGGGACCTGGCCGTGTCCAAGTACCGACTGAAAAAGGGCGACGAGCAACTGCACGCCACCTTCAGCACGGCTCTCTACTCGTATGTGGCCTCGAATCCCTCCTTCTCGGGGAAGTTGCGCGATGTGGCGCCGGAACTCTTTCAGCATGTCGACTGGCCGGACATGGAGCCGAGCGAGCGCCTGGCCGCGTCCTCCTTCGACACGCTGTCCAGCATCCCGCACCACAGCATGGACCCGCTGACCGAAATCACGGTCTTTGTCTACCTGGCCCGGCGCATGCCGCGCATCTTGCTGACGCGCTTCGTCCGGTCGACCTGGGCCCCTCGCGAGTATCCGGACTCCCTGGGCCGGCTGATGGCCTGGTCGCCGGAGGAGTGCATTCCGCAGTTTTTCACCGACCCCGAGGTGCTGGTCAGTTGCCACTCCGACCTGCCGGACTTGGGGCTGCCGCTGTGGGCCGAGGGCTCGCCCGAGGTGTTCATCCGGCGCCATCGCGAGCTCCTGGAGAGCACGGCCGTCAGCGCGCGCCTGCACATGTGGATTGACTTGACATTCGGGGCGGCCCTGGCCGGGGATCTGTCCTTGGCTCAGCTGAATGTCCCCCTGGACCCGAATGCTCGGCTGCCCCTGGTGCAGACCCTGCAACAAGGCCTGGCCCGGAGCCGGGCTCAGATCTTCCACTCTCCGCACCCATGGAAGGTCCTGCCTTCGGAGCAGCACACCACCGATGCCGAGGATGCCGGGGTGCGCGAGTCGGCCGAGCAGCCGCCATCCCACTCCCCAGCTGACAGCAGTACGCACCCACGCCCATACACCTGCTTGGTCCTCTGCGCATGGGGAAACTCACGCCCCTGGCTTCTTTGTCCCTGTCCTTCGCCCCCCCCCCCCCCCCCCCCCCCCCCCTCCCGTCTCCCTCGCTCTTTGCCCTGTCTTTTCGGGCCAGACTTCGATCCGATGGATCCTTTCGCCGAGCTCCGGAAACTCGAGGCCGAGTCGCACTTTCGCCAGTCCAGCACGCTGGCCAGCATGGCACTGCCCGGGTCTTCTGTCGAGATGGCAATCGAAACGATGGATGTCTCGCCCCCCGGAGCCAGCGCCTTCCCCGATCCGTCAGTGCCCCGGTCGGCCACCGAATTGGTCCCGTTGTCGGAGCGCCCGGCCGCGGGAGCCCCCTCCGCCGAGCAGATGGACCTCTTCCATGTGTTGCAATCGGTCGGCCGCGGTCTCTTCCTGGGTGTCGAGGTACGTCTGGGGCTTTGTTCCGCGCTTTTTTGGCCTTGCCTGGCGGCTTGGCCGTTTTCTTGTCATGTGCCCTAATGCTGTGGAGAAAAAAAAAGACGCCCCTTGCCCTGCAAAGTCTGCTTAGCCTGCGCCCGGAGCAGCTCCCCCCGATTGAGGATCTTCTCCGGCCGACCAGCCAGTTGGCCGACATGGGGGATCTGCTGGTTGACACGACCAGCTTCTGGGCCACCAGCCTCTTCCCGGACTACTTTGGGCCGGTGTTCGAAGACCTACACGCTGCGGTGCTCAAGTATGTACTTCCGCGGATCCCCTCTCTCTCTTCCTCTCTCTCTCTTTATCTTTTTCTCTTCCTCTCTCTCTTTCTCTCTTTCTCTTCCTCTCTCTCTTTCTCTCTTTCTCTTCCTCTCTCTCCTTCTCTCTTCCTCTCTCCTTCTCTCTCCTTCTCTCCCCTTCTCTCTCCTTCTCTCTCTTCCTCCCCCTCCTCCCTTCACTCCCCGCCCCCACACACACATGCACTCTCTTGCTTGGTTCGCAAACTAACTGTCTGCTTCACTGGCTCCGGCCTAGCCGTCCGGTGAGCCCGGCGCTTGCGGCCCCACCTCCAATTTCGGAGGCCCTCCTACAGCGGCTGCACTCGGTCGAGGCGGATCTCTTCGACGTGGTGGCCGCCCATGCCTTGCGTGATAGCGTCCTCTCGCTGTCCACCACGCAGGATGCCCCGCAAGTGACTCGCGATGCGGCCATTTGGCAGTCGGGTCTGGCGATGGAAGGCACCACGTCCGACACGATGTCCACCACCGGCGGGGCCTCGCACGCGCGCGGGTGCGGAACCCGACGCATGGCCCTGACAGTGCCTCTGGTTCGGTGTGCCCGGTCGCTGGCCAGCAGCTTCCCGCTACTTCGATCGGCCATGGTTGGTCACAGTCTCAATGGCCAGACTCTGGGCCTGATGCGGCCGCTGGTCCAGCTGCTGGAGGTGCGTTCGGCAGTCGCCTGGCCACTGGGCCTGGGGGTGCTGCTGCTTGTTTTCCCCCCCCCCCCTTTCCCCGATCCCCTTCCCTGACCGAGCCTTGTTCCCCCGTTCGCGGGCGCCCGCGTCACAGACCAACCACCCAGCAGTCTATGCGGAGCTCTTTGACTTTGATGCCCGGCCGCCGGCGGCCATCGCTCAGGAGCTCTTTGCGGCCTTCGGCGCGCCGCTTCTCTGCCAGCTGGTCATCCCGCACCTGGTGGAGGGCTGCATGTCCCCCTTCTCGGCCGCCGACGATCCGGGTCTCTGGACGAGCCTTCCTGGCCGGTGCTCGCGGCTTCTTGTGCACCTGTCGTACGTTGCCTCCTGCCTTGGTCCCCGCGCTGGAGCTTTCCCCTTTGCCGGCAGGATAGCCAATTCGCCTGCTATTGCCTCTACAAACACCTTCCACCGCTGTTCCACCTTCGGTATACTCATGCACGCACGACACATCCGACACACACACAAACGCACGCACGCACGCACGCACGCACGCACGCACGGACGCACAGCGGCCATATCGGCATGGTCCTGGCGCTCAAGCACATCATCGAGCCGCTGCTCGAGGCCATCGGCCAAAATGAGCTGGTTTCCTCGCCGGACATGGTGGCATGCCTGTTGACGCATTCGGATGCCCCGGTTCTGGAGTCGGGGTCCCTGCGCCCGGTGGATGCCCTGACAGCTGAGCCATTCCCCCTGCTGCCGTGCCCAATGCAGGCCACTCTCATCGGTGTGGCCAAAGCCCTGGATCCCTATGGGCGGCACATTTTCCCGGAGTACCTGCTGCCCTTCTGCGTGTTGCTCCTCCGGTCGGCCAACGCCTCGCCGGCCAACAGCCGACGCGGTACCCGCCGGTCCAGCAGCTTCAATGGGCCGGATGGGGACTCGCAGGATGCTCGGTCGCCAGCGCTGGGGGGCAGCTTGGCCCAGCGGCCCGGGCACCAGGTGCGTGTGCGTGTCGGGCCGGCCCTGTCGCCGGTGATCGCGGTCCAGGGCCTGCTCCTGTGGCGCCGGGCGCTGATGGCCTACTCGCATGGGGAGGACCAGCTGCCGGGGGTACACTCGGCTGGAGGCTGGCCGGACGCCTGGCCGGCTCCCTGGAGCCAGCCGGGGCTGACCATGAGCGACTACTACCGGCGGCGGTATTGGCTGCTGGCAGAGCCGGCCGCCAAGTTGGCCATGTCCTCGGCCACCCTGGTGGTGTTGTATCCTTTCATCAAGTTTGAGCATTTGCTGCCCTCGGTGCAGCCCTACTTTTCGACGGACATGCGGGTGGTCACCTTCACCCTGGCGGTGGACCTGCTGGCTTCGCTGTCGCAATTGGAGTTCGCCTCGCGACAGGATTCCGCCCCGCCGGAGGTGCTGCTCGAGGCGGAGCTCCAGGCTTCCGGCACCTTGCTCCGGCCGCGGCCGCTTCACATTGCCGGTGGCGCATCGACCGAGCATCTCGGGCCGGAGGCCAACTGGTCGCCGAGTGCCAGTGGCTCGCTCGGCGGCCCGGGCAGCGCCGGCCCTGGCGCGTCGCTCGCCGGCAGCCCACTGGCCGGGCGCTCGGCATCTCACAGCCCGTCCGCCTCCACCGGCCACCTGCCCGGGGCCGGTGAGCCGGGGCCCGGCTTGACTGGTGTCCGGTCGGCCGAGGGGCTTGCCTCCTCGTCCTCCTCCACCGGTGGCCTGGCCATCGCCGCCGGAGCCGGTGAAGGTCCTGCCGCGCTTCGGCCATCCGGCAGCCAGGGCGCCGACTTCCCCGAGAGCACCACCATCCTGATGAATTCCCTGCTGGAGCCCTTCCTGCTGGTGCTGTCCGGGAGCTTCCGCTCCCGACTGAAGGCCCATTTGACTGGCAATGAGCTGGCTTCGTCGCTGCCCGCACACTTGCCGGACCTGGCGCTCTTCGTTCACCGCCGGGTGACCCTGGCCCTGGGTGCCCTGTCGCGCCTGCTGCTGGAGGATATCACCCTCTTCTTGGACCGGGTATATGGCAATGCGCCATACACCCCGGCATTGTCGTCGACCAGTCGCCCGGATGACCGGGCCTCCTCGGTGCCAGATGACCGCCTGGCGCATTTCTCCATCGCCGAGGACTTGGCCTCGCCGTCGGCCTTCTCGCCCTCGCGAGCGCACATCCAGGCAGCCGCCGCCGCGGCCGGCACCGCTGCCAGCCCCGCCGAAGCCGCCCCCGTCGGGGCCATCGACACGCCCACTGCCCCGAGCACGCCGGCGCAGGCCAATGTCTCGATGTCCGGCCAGCAGCCTGGCCAGTCGGCCGGGCCCCCGGCCGGGCCCGGTGGTATCTGGCCGATTGCTCCCCAGTCCACCGAGGACAGCCTTCGTACCCACCGGTATTACGGGTCGGTGGGCATGCTGGCTGGGCAGGATTTCGCCGCGTGGCAGCGGGCGGCCGAGGACCGGCAAGACCCATCGATCGGCGACTCGGAGTACATCCTGCGGGATGTGCGTTTGCGCCAGTATTCGGAGCACTCGTCCCAAATCACCAGCCTGGCCGTGCACACCGGATCCTACCAGGCCCTCATGGGGCCGGACCCCTTTGAGCCGGTGTTCGGGTACGAGTCGATCGGGTTCAGTGCCTCGCTCGACAAGACCGTCAATGTATGGTCCCTGGGCATCCACCATGCGCTGGGGTCCTGCGCGGCGGCCGAGCTGCCGGCCAGCGCCGGGGGCTCCCTGTCCGGGGGGAGCTCCAGCGGGGCGCTGCAATCCTTGGGCCGGCGCCTGGCCGTCTATGAGGCCCACCAGTCGCCGGTGTATGCCCTGGATTTGGCCTACCACTCGGCCATGCGGGTGGTCAGCGCCGGGCGGGATATCCACTTCTGGGATCCGGAAACCGGGCAGACGGACATCGTGTACGATTTCCACGCCGGGGTGCAGTATCTCCGGCCCGGGGGCGGGGTCGGCAGTTTCGGCTCCCTGGGCCTCGGGGCCGGGCATTTGGGTGGCCCTCTTGGTGGTGGTGGTGGTGGTGGCGGCGGCGGCGGCGGCGCCCTTGGAGTTGGGAATGCGCTCGGCCTCACCGGCGGCGCGGGCCCCAGCGCCTCGGCCGCCAATAGTGCCCTCCGGCTGAGCGTCATCGGCCCGGGGCTTGTAGCCGCTGGTCTGCTCTCCTCGAGCCTCGTCAAGTACGTTGATCTGCCTCTCCGTCCTTTCCTCTCCCTCTTTTCCTCTCCCTGCTCCCTACTCCCTGCTCCCTGCTCCCTGCTCCTTGTTCCCTTCTCCCTCCCTCCCCCCCCCTCTCTCTCTCTCTGCCCGCTCCCTCTCTCCCCGCCCCCTCGCCCCAGGGTCGTGGCTCCTTCCTGGGCTTTGGCTTTCCTCCATGTCGCATGCTCCCCGACTGACTAATTGCCGCGCGTAGGGTCTTCGACATGCGCGTCCAGCACCCGGTCATCACTCTGCACACGACATCCACCGGCGCCCTGAAGTCCGTCAGTGACTTGATTTCCACCTCGACAGTCCTCTCACGGCCGGTGCTCCGGTCACTGGCGGCCGCACACTCAAGCATGTCCCCCGGGCCGCTGCTGGCAGTCGGCCACACCCAGGGGTATATTTCCCTGTTGGATCTCCGCTCGGCCGGGTCGCGGCTTGTGCGCTTCAGCCAGCCCTGCGATGGCCCGGTGTCCCACCTGGCCTTTGCCCACACGGACCCCTGGGGCACCGGGCTCGGAGCCGTCAACCACACGGACCTCAGCGGAGGCACCAATGGCCAGCCCGGAGCCGGGCAGCCGGTTCTCGTGGCCGCCTCTCAGGACAAGTGCTTCATCTTCGACACACATGTTGAAGGCCGGCCGAAGGCCATCCAACGTGCGCCCCCCCCCCCTCCGGCTGTCGCCCGGATCGGCGGAGGCTCTCTCTCCCTCCCTCTCTCTCCCTCTCTCTCTCTCTCTCTCTCTGCATCGCCTATGGCTTGAATACTCACCTTACTCGCCTATGTTCATCCCCCTCAACCACCTTCAATGTCGCCCTTCTTCATGACAGATCCCGAGCACGTGTCGGCCATTGACACCTACAAGTACCGAGTGTTCTCCGTCGACGGTAAAGGGCAGCTCAACGTCACAGACGCCATTTCCAAGAGGGTACGCCCTCCGCCTCCCCTCCAGCCAACTTGCTGTGTTTTCGACTCGCTTCACGCGCACGCGCGCGCGCGCGCCGCCGCCGCCGCCGCCTTGTCTAACGCCCCTCTCCCTTTTGGATACTGGACAGAAATTGCACGAGGGCCGGATTTCCCCGCTGGCCATCAGCCACCCGGGCCAAGCCTGGGAGCAGGTCCAGCAGATTGTCGATCCGACGGGGCTGCTCTCGGCAGGCGGTGTCGGAGCGCCAGCCCTCGGCGGCGGGCCGATGTCCACCGGGCCGGCTGTCAGCATGGCCAGCTCCCCGATGACTGGTGGGTCGGGCGCCGCACCGGCCGCCCGGAAGTCGGCCTTCCACTCGCTTGTGCGACCGTTGTCGATTGTCGTTGGCTCCGGCTCAACTGGCGGTGTGACGCCCTCCTCCTCTTCTTCTGGCTCCTCGTCGTCCTCCTCCGTCGTCTCCTCGGCGTCATCTTCCTCTTCCTCCACGCCGCTGTCCTCCGGCCCGGCCTCTTCGGCTGGCGGGATTCAAGCCGGGGGCATGGGACTGGGGGCTGGCCATCATCCGACTGGCATGTCGAATGGCTCAATCGCCATGCCCATGCTGAGCTCGGATTCCGGGCATCACCTAGCCGGGACCCCACCTTCCGGGCTGTATCCCTCTTCGCCGGCGCAGTTGGCCGGCGGTGTGGCCTTGCCCCTGACGCCAGGCGCTGGAGGCGCTGTCGGCGCCGCCGGGGCAGGGCTTTCTAATCGCAGTTTGGCCCTTTCGCGTAGCCGCCCACTGGCATCGACATCTGCCTCGCCCATTACCGCCTTGCGCTACCTCCCAGGGAATGATGTCCTCTGGGTCGGCACCAAGAGCGGAGACATCCACCTGATCCGTTGATGAGCGGAAGTGTATCCCCCCCCCCCCCCCCCCCATGGGAAAGCGGCTCTTTGGGTCTCTCCTGATCAATACATCCTCCTGGTTGTGTGTGACTCTGGCTCCTCTCCCCCGCTGTTGCTGGCCCTCGCGCGCACGCGCGCGATGGGTGTCACTGTGAATGGTAAATCAATGGGATGTACACATGTCAAGGGCATAGGCTGGCTCTATTATATCATTATTATTTTGGTGAACTTTGCGTTGGAGTCCAGTGGCGCGCGGACGCATGTGTGCATGGGGGAGGGGGCGGGTCTCCTCCAGTGGTTCTATCCTCGCATGTAGGCACACGCGGCGACGAGACCCGAGCACGGGCAGGGCAGAGGGGGCATTCACTTGCGCTGCTGATGCTCCACCGCATCGCGCATCTGGTGCAGCGAGGTCTCCAAGGCAGCGAGGAAAGGCTGGGCGTCCTGGTAGGAGGTCACATTGAAGCGCAGGGTGGTCTCATTCATGCCATAGCCAATGCCGTAGCCCTCCTGGTGCACGGGGCCGAAGGCGCCGCCGTCGATGGTCGGCGAGGACAGGGTGCTGGTGGACAGGATGTTCTGGTTGATGATGCCATAGGCTGGCGAGAGGGGGGGCAGGTGAGGAGGGGAGGTCCCGCTGTGTGCGTATGGCTGTGCGTGCGTGCGTGCGTGCGTGCATGCATGCACGGGGAAGAGCAAAGAGGGAGAGAGGGGAAGCGAGCGAGAGGAGGGGTGGGGGGGGGGGGGGACGCACCGGCATCGGTGAAGATGGCCGGGGTGGGCATGCCCTTGGCCTCGGCAAGCTTGCGCAGGGCAAACAGATGGCGATCGAAGCTGCAGAGACAGTGGCGGTCAGAATGCGGCAGGGCAAAAAAAAGAAGACGAAGTGAAAGCGAGCAGCCGCCCTTGGTCGGCGCCAGTTGGCGTGCTGCTGATTTCGAGGCACGCGCGCGCGCGCGCGCGCATGTGTGTGCGTGTGTGTATGCAAACATGTCACACGTCACACGTACCCCTGGCCCATGAGCGCCTCAACAGTGATCTTCTGGTGGCGCTCAACAGCCGTGCGCAAAGCCTGAGCGCGCTGCTCCTGCGAGGAGGCCGGGTTGAGGAAAACCTCCGACATGGCCTTGGACTCGTTGGTGGCCGAGCGAATGCACTCGGTCCGGCCGTGCTTGAAGGCCGCCGTGTTGGCACTCTCATAGGTGCTCACCGCCTTGCCGCCGCTCAGCCGGGCATACGCCAGCTGGAAGGCCATCTGCATGAAGCCATCCGGCGACAGGCGCGAGTTCTTGATCCACTGGCGGTTCATGACCTCGGTGTCCAGGATGTTGAGCCTGAGCGCGGCGTCGGCCGCGTCGAAGCGCTTCTCGGCGGCCTTGACAGCGGCCTTGGCCTTGTCATCAAACTGGCATAACCCGCGACGCAGGGGAGGGGGGAGGGGGGGGGGGCGGGATGAGAGAGAGAGAGGAATGAAGAAAGGGCGTCAGATCCGACGGACAACAAATGACCAACAGTACGGGCCTCCCCCGCAAGAGAGCGGGGGGAACGGAGAGAGGGCAAAAGCGAGGGGGAGAGTCGAGAAGCCAAGCAGACGCACGTCAAAGCCGAGGAGCTCCGGCTCGGGCACGCGCCCGGCGGCCGGCTCACACAAGAAGCGCTCCGAGTCCTCGAACACGTCGTTCAGGTAACGGAGGACCGCCACACCATCACCCCAGGCATGCTCGAAGTTGATGGCGGTCGTGCCATTACGGTTGATAATCATCGAGAAGCTACGAAGCAGCGAGCAAAAGCGCGGTCAGAGATAGATGCAAGTCGAGGGAAATAGAAAGAGAGTGAGAGAGAGAGAGAGGGAGACACAGAGGGACGGGGCGGGATGAGATACAAAAAGGCTGGGGCTTAGCCTTACCTCTTGTCGAACCAGCGGTTGCGGCCGCTGCCAGTGAGCATCTCACGGCTGAGGGCCTCCATGCTCGTCGGGGCCGTGTCGTCCAGGCAGAGCATGAACAGGGCCGAGTCCACAGCCTTGAGGCTGGCGGCATTCTTGGCCGACAGGCCGGCAAGGTGCTCGCGCGCAGCCGCCCAGGCCGGCCGGGCGTCCGAAGTCAAAATGCCCACGGCCGGAATGTCGGCCGCCGGGGCCGGGGTGGCCAGGATCTTCTGCACGGCGGCCAGGATCTCGCCCTCGTTCAGCCAGGTCCGGCCGTCGGGACGGAGCTCCAGCTTGTAGATCTGGTTGCGGCTGGCATCGGCGAAGGGGAGGAGGGGATGTATGCCGAAGGCCGGGGGCGGGAGGGGGG